ACTGTAGTACTCCTTCGCCACCAGCCTCTGCCGCTCGCAGTTCGGCCCTGCCTGACTTTGATGCCTGTAATTCTCCAGGCGTGATGTATCTTGTGAAGTCGGCTGGTAGCTCTGCTGGTTGCCATGGAAACCACACCTTTCTCGAAAGGACTGCATGGCGCGGGCTCCTTATCTGCGAAGAGAGAGAGGCGAGAATTCAAATGAAGCATCGCCACCGTGGCGGGCCGGGGAGCGCGGCCGCGCGCAGAGAGGGGCAGCGTCGCGTGTGCCGTGGGGGCATCGCCTCCCTTGCCGTGGCAGCGCCCCGCTGGCGCTGCATCACCTCCCCGGCACCCTGGAGCACAGCACCTGGCAATTCAACACTTCGCATTGTCCTGCATCACCTTGCATCGCCCTGCATCGCGTCGCCCAGCATCGCATCGCCCTGCATCGCATCACCCAGCATCGCATCGCCCAGCATCGCATCGCCCAGCATCGCATCGCATCTCTCGCTCTGCATTGCATTGTGCTGCATTGCCGTAGATTGCGTTGCCTTGCATCGCCCTGCGTTGCATTGCCCTGCAACGTGTCGCCTTGCATTGTATCACCCTGCATCACATCACCTCGCATTGCACCGCCCTGTATTGCCCTAGATCGCAGCAGCTGGCTTTGTGTCACCTCGCATCACTCTGCATCACATCGTGTCGCCCCACAACACATCGGTTGGCGTTGCATTGCCCTGCCTCGTCCTCTATCACATCTCCTCGCATCGCTCCACGTCGCATCGCTCCGCTTCGCAGCATGGTGCCTGCGAGCTGGGGGGCGGCTGGGGTGCGGATCCTGCCTGCAGCGTTCCCAGCCAGCCCTCCTGACCCCGCTGCTGGGAGCATTCCCCATCCCCGCTGCCCACCCCGGCTTTGCAGGGCGAACAAACCCTCTCCCTGCGTGTCCCACGAGGCGCAGTGACCCCCTGCACCGTGTTGGGGTCCTCCAGTCTGCATTTCACGTACCCGCTGCCCCTCACCTCTGCAAATGACTTATCCCCACCTCCTCGCACACCCTCCTTGGGGATTCTGCGAGCCTCTCCGAACACCCTGCTTATCACCGCTCTTTTTAATTATTGGGCTAATTACTGGAAGCAGCAGCGTGGAGGGCCAGAACCGCAGGCTCTGCTGCAAAAAAACCCAGTCATTTCAACTTGCTGGCTCTACCCGCCTCCGCCTGCTGCTGCCTCCCACAGCCCCCCCCGGCCCCAGCCGATACCCCCTGCCCTGGCGCGATACCATCTGGAAGCTGTCTGCTCCTGCCAGCAGCCGTCTATTAGCCGAACTCCTCGCCACCATCGTCATTAAACCTCCCCATTTCCTAGCCCCGCTTGCGTTAGGTGCAGGGAAGCACCTGGGTCACCGGTTTGATCTCAGAGGCAGCTGAGTGGCTTGCGGGGGCTAATGAAGGGCTTGGTGGTGGGGGGAGTGGATGAATCCTGCCCATCCACAGCACCAGGGGGTCGGAGGCGCTGGGGTGAACGCGAGCATGTTATGGCAGCGGTTTGAGATTTGGGAGCCCTGGTCGGGCAGCCCCAAGGGTCTGCAGCTCCCCAGGGACTTCCCTGGTGCTGCTCCCTCGGCACTGTGCCGCAGCGGTGACCCCGGTGCTGTGCCCTCTGCCTTCATTAAGGCGATGAGTGTAACGAGGGAGGAGGTGGGGTGTTGGCGGTGTCTGGCACCCGGCACCCATCGGCAGAGCTGAGCCCAGTCCTGGTCCCTGTCACACCTCCCTGTGGTGCCATCCACGCTTGGCAGCCCCGAGGTGGGGAGGGGGCTGCATATGTCCCCCCGCCACCCTTGTGTCACTGCCACAATGTGCCAAATGACGTGCGGCTCTGGCCGGTCCCTTTGTCGGTGGCTCTGCCGTAGCCACACAAATCGCACCGCTGGTTTGATCAGTCCCAGCCCGGCTCCTTTCCTCGCAGCGCCCTGTGGACACCGGTAATGTCTCAGCACCTTCGCAGGGTCTCCATACACACACAGGGCTTTATTTAGTTATATTTCCATAACCGGTGGTGCACCGATCGCACGGCGCCCTCCGACACCGCTGCAGCTGGGCATCCCGTCCCCCCCATCCCTTTTTTGGATGCTTTCACGTCGCTCCCCCGCGCAGGCTGCACGGGCAACTGGATGCGGTTAAAGCCTAAATCCCAGGGAAAAGACGGGTCAATTAAAAATCCGGTGAGGCCGGCACGAAAGCCCCTAGCGCGGTGCGGGTGCGGTGCTGCCCTGTCCTGCGCTGGAACAAAGGCAGCAAAATCAAAGCCAGGCCTCTGGGGCAGCCCCGGGCGGCGGCGAGAAAATTAAAGGGAGAAAAGGGCCCCTCACGCTCCACGCGGAAGCAGGTTTGAAAAATGAAATCGGCTTGAGGAGACGTACAGCTGGTGCTTTAAGGGCAGCTTCCCCCTCCCTTTTTCTTTTATTATTAATTATTGTTATTAATTAATTCCTGTTACTTTCTCAAACAGCTGGGACAATGCCAGGCGGAGCAAAAGCAGTGGGTGCAAGGGGATGGGTTGCTCACCGGCAGGCGGAGGAGGGGATGCGCAGAGGGAACACGTGTGCGGGATGTGTTGGGTGTGCACGCGCGCAGCACGTGCACGCGTGCAGGGTTTGCACACTTGCAGCCTGTGTGTGTGCCCACAGGGTGTGCAGCGCGGTGCACACCAGCCTGGGGATCTTCTCACTGGGGCTGGATGAGGCCCACCGGACAGGAGACGTGGCTGGGACTGCCCGTTGCTTCCCCATCCAAGATGGGCCAAAATCCCACGCCGGAGCGACAGCCACATCTCCCTTCAGGCCACCCGGGCAGCGGGCTGTGCCGGGGGTGGGATGCTGCCATTTGGGCTGGGAGAGGACACGCTCATCGCCAGCAGCACCCGGACCTGTCAGCAGAGCTGGAGGCCAGCTCTTCCCTCAGCTCTGCCGCAGCTTTGCCGGAGAAGGGCCGTAACAGATGTTGCCGCCTGATGCAGGCTGTTTCCGAGCAAACGCTTTAATGGCATCAAATCAAGCTGTCGACAGCAGCAAGGTTACGGCCCTTCCTGGGAGGGGGAGGCGGCTGCGGCC